CTATTATCTAGATACCAATGGTTAGCATGAATTCATTTGGCATCTATTATCTAGATACCAATGGTTAGCATGAATTCATTTGGCTGCTGAAAGTAGAAATTAGATGAGTTTTTCTCTATTTTGCAACATTGTGTTCTGACCATCAAATATAGATAGTAAACCTAACTGGAAAAAACCACAATCTTCTGTTTAATTATATATGACATTTTTTTTTAAAAAAGCTGCAAGAATGTTCCCTTGAATACAACCTTTTCAACCAGGTTGAAACAAGGTTTCAATAATTTACAAATTATTTTTGAGATTCTTATTGGAGTTTGATACCACCAATAAAAGAGCTTAAGCTTATATTTTCTATATAGATGCTGATAAGAATCCCCCATTCTGCCATTGAGACATGGCATCTAATTTTCTCCCTAAATCTGGATCCCAAGTTTCTTGTAGCCCTATGATGTACTTGCCATAATTATTTCAAAAAGATCTGTTATATTTGGGCTTATGTGGAAAAAATGACATTGATTTTTCTAAATTACATAGATGTCTATTTCCAGTTTCCATCACTTGTCTATTTCACAATATTGAATTGATCTGGCATCACAAAAATCACAGCACTTTATGGTCTAACTGTTATTCAGCTTGCTCTAGATTGTAAGGTACTGAGTTTTTATAAAAATCTTTTACTCTATAAAGCCTGCCCCCCCCCCCCCACACCCCTAGTTTCAATTGTGTGGCTCTGTCTTGATTGAAATTTGGGTATACTGTCAATGAAGTTAAGAGAGTAATTCATGAAATAAGTCCTGAAAACCTCTTTCTTTATATTCAGCACATTACTTGTATAAAATCAAAAAGAACTGGTTTAAATCCTTAACCCAGAACTGAATATTTTCCATCTATACCCACTGTTTTTTGGGGGGGTCTTCCATTATGAAAGAAATAATATGTGCTAACTGAGTTTTAAACACTGTCTGTCCTATAGGTTTCTTACGTTATAGCAACTGGATGGGAAAAGGATCTTAAATATCTACATATCCTATATCTTTTTATTGTATCATCCAAAGCTCTAACATTCAGTTTATATATATCACTAATAAAATACCATTTCTACTACTTTGTGTCCTATAAAATAAATCAAATCTATTCTGGCCTTAAAAATATAAATCTTTTGTTGCCTGCTCCAGTAACAAACCTGTTCCTTCCTGCTTTTTCCCCTCTTAACCTCCCTACCCTTGCCATATAGTCTCTACCTCAAATATTTCCCCTCTGATGATCTCATAATTTCTATCACCCACATTCCCCTCCCTATTCACCCGCTCCCCCCCCCACTTCAGTCATAGACCAACAGTAAATCTGCAGAGTTTCATAAGGGTCATTCTTGAGCCTTTTCTTGATATAAAAGAAAAGTGTTTTGCTGCTCTCTCATCCCTTTATCGCCCAATGAATTGTTTTTATTAATAAATCAACTGTATCTTATAATTTTATTTTTATGTGCTTTCTCATATTAGTTGTCTGCTTCCCTCTTCCCAAATAATTATTTATCTCACCTACTTATAACTTAATCCTAATATGAGCTAATGTTTTAATACTGTACTAGATCTTTCAGTCTAAAGGGTTCATTTTATTTTTCCCCGTTTTTCTTGTGCTTCTGTTGGAATCCTCTTTCGCCTGGGAGCTTCATTTTGCAACTGTATCTCTTTGGCTTAATCTCCAAGGTCACTCCTTGCCCTAGCACCATCAGAGGGAGTCTTCTTCAAATCAGCCAGTTTTATTCATAACCTGAATAGTATTAATTGTTTCTATTCCTTGTGGTTTCAATATAATGAGTTTAAATGGAAATCCCCATTTATACTTACAGTTCTGTAAGAAGCTTAAATGCAATCATTTTTTGGAAGGCAGTTTGGCTAATGTCTTGTTAAAACAAAACTTTATCTCCTCCCCAGTTAAATTCCTTCAGCTTGTGAATTCCTGACAAAAATAATTTTGTCTCTAGTATGTTCTTTAAGAAATTAAATTATAATATCCCGTGGTTTATTCAACTTTGCAAGCCTGGAATTTTGAACTCTATGTGCATGTGCTATGTCCTTTTCCAAAAAGTATAACTCTGGGAGGGAATCATTAAGTCTTCTTACTATGTAATCCATCAGGTTGCCATTCTCAGCCTTTCATTAATACCTCTGATAGAGGTTGCTTCATCTGTTACAATTGTCAATATCTGCCACAGATATTTTAATATCCATGATATCCTTTTCAATCTTTTTTACACTGGAGGCATTTTTAGTACCTAAGCTGTAAGTTTGACTAGCTTCTTGAGCAATGTCTCATATTTGCCTTGGCCTCAAATAGTTGATGGATATTTATTGTAGCATTTTGGAGTTTGGTGTTGGTGTTGTTTTTAGTTTGGGAAGGGCTGTGTGAAACTGATATTAAAGAATATTTTAAGATGCTTAACTTCAGCCAGTACTCCTAAATACTTAGTGTTGATAGCAATATTTCACAAAAGAAGTAATGAATAATCATTATTTGAGTTTCAGGCCCTTTCCCAGTCTATGACTGCCACCTTACAACAAAAGCCTATTAATATGGAAACAACACTTAAGCTTTGAATCCCCATGATAAAAAGGGGCAGCCACACAGAATGATGCCTACTGCAACATTATTTATTTGTTTGTTTGTTTGTTTGTTTATTGTATTTATATAGCTGCCCATCTGACACAAAGAATTAAACATAAATTTGGCTTAAGGCTAGCAGGTTAATGTGCCAAAAATCTCTGTAGCAAATATTACTGAAGAAAAATATACCCACTGAAATGACTTATATAGTTGTGGGGGACTTGTTATTAGTAGTGTACAACTGAGGAACAAAACTAATAATGAAGAAGAGCCATAGACTTCAGTCTGTTGTCCAATATTACTCTGCAGTACAGAACTGAATAGATCATTTACATTAGCAATTATTCTTGAAAGTAAGTAATGTGCTATAAGATTCATTGTGATCATATAAACACCAGGAATGAGCCAATCTCTTGGGTGCAACAGCTCATGACTCAGACTTGAGACTTAGAATTATTATATAGCCTAGAGAACTACTTAAAAGCAATTGGAAATAGGTACAGTGGTACAGTTTGCTTTTGAAGATCATCATTCAGCAGGTGATGGGCTGCCAAGTTGCAAGCTGTCCGAAAGTGAAAAGTGGGTTGTCAACAGAATGTCAATTGCTGTTGATCAACACTCATGAGAAGGCGGGCTGCCATAATAGATTGTGTAAAAAATCCTGCTAGAATGCAGTGTCTACTTTTAATTCAAGGAATTACAAAGGTCTCAGTGTCTGCCTTATTTTGGACTGAAAGAGCCATGTGCATTACTGCAGGTTTAAAAGGATGCATGGCATGAGCAGTTATGATGCTTATAATATGTAAAATAAAAAGGGTGAGAAGGAATTTATTCATTATCATTATGGTGGGAAAGATGGGTATTTTCTTGTTCAGTGCGACGTAGCAAACAATGTAACCATATGATCCAGGCAGTAAGCATACTTGGTGATTATTTGTGCTCTTCTGCAACATGGAAGCAAAATATGAATTTTATTTTATATTTTAATTAGGGTTGCATTTTCACTTTGCATGGTTTTCACTAATGAAAAAACAATTGTTAAATAACACTTTAATGTGTTTTTAGGTTTATTCAACATTTTTGTGCCATTTGTTATTACTAAATTGGGATTTGAATCTGAGTTTCCATTTGAATGTCATCAAAGAAAAGTTCATAAACTTCCCATTCACTGACTCTTCTTTCTTTCTTCAAAGAGATTGGCTCCAGTCTTAACTAATTTTTTAAAATAAAAATGCAAATGATTATTTCCCACTTTCAAATATGTACAATCTCAATTCACTGCTACAGAACTTTCCCCCCTTTCTTGCATATGTATTTTTATTCTTTATGCAAAAGGATACATTCATCCATTTATTCCTCTCCTCCTTTCCCCCAGTTCCTTATCTTTCCTACCGGACAGTCTTATCCACCCAAGAAATACAAATATATTCCTTGTATATGTACAGCCAACTGGAGTTGAAGCAAATATTCCTTGGATAGGAATACCCAGGATTCTTCTGGCAGTCTCATTCCCATTTGTCACCCAGCAAATTCATATGATACATGACAGTGAACATTGTAGGACTGCAAGAACCATTGTTTTCATAAGAATATCTTGTTATGGTGTGAAACCTGTCTAGGCAACTAGGCTTTTTGAAACGTTTTAACTTCCCCATCTTCTGCACACTTAGTATGCCTAAACAGACTGAATTGACTAAAGAGAAACTACTTATTTGGTTCTTATTTATCAAATTAAGGTTGCTCTCAGGTAAAGGTGGGTCACATTCACCTTGGCACAAACCTCAAAGACTTGGGTTACATGGAACAGTAATTTAGAACTATGTGGAATTCTGTCATGCCAATAGTTTATAAATCAGAGGCACACTGTCAGGTTTCCTGGTTCCTCTTGCCTGCAGACATGACTATAATGGTTCTGTGTTGGTTTGTTTATCCTGTTATACAATTTAGGGACTTAATCATTTTAAGATTAGCAAGATTTGGAAGCTTTTTCTAAAGTTTCTGGTTTATTGATCCATTTACACAATTAGTAATTTACTTCTGAGTAAAATCTGTATGAAATCACGTTGCATAACATGGAATGGTCAGAAACTTCCAATATCAGAAACTGAAACAGATATATTTTGTATGCTTATTCTGTAATGTTATAGGTGCACATATTACATTCAACGTGATCTACCATTCAGCATTCATAAAGCTACCAGTTAGCTTCAGAAGGCCAGACATTTTTCAATTATATGCTTATAGTCACTTCTAATTTGACTCAAAACGTAGGTGGACCACCTGGATCTCACTGGCTGATGTACAGGAGACAAGATGATTGTTTATTCATTATGTTTATTCATAATGACAAGAGAGCTGGTTTGGTGTAGTGGTTAGGGCATCAGGCTAGAAACCAGGAGACCTGCCTTAGGCATGTAGCCAACTAGTGACCTTGGGCCAGTCACTCTCTCTCAGCCCTAGGAAGCAGGCAAGGGCATACCACTCTGAAATCTTGCCAGGAAAACTGCAGTGGCTTGTCCAGGCAGTACCAGGAGTCAACAATGACTCAAAGGCGTGCGCGCGCACAAACACACACACACACACATGTTTATTTACCACACAATTTTTTCCCCAGAGAAAATTCTGTTGTCAAAATTTCTTAGGATAGGGTTGTAAATGGTATCTGGCATGTTGTGATATCCAGACTTGATCAGTCTATATGCCAGACAGGCACAGGCATAGAATCTGCATCTTCGTGTGGGTGAGATGCTCTTTGTCACATATTGAATCACATAAACCCAAGCCTCTGCCCTTGGTAGAGATGGAGATTGAGTTTTTGAAAGCGAAGCTTACTTGAACCGCACAGAAGCCGTGCATAGAATTAAGGAATAAATAGGGTTCTTTCCATCTCCCCAGTGCCTCAGAATTAACTTATTGGAATCCCCAAGAAGTCAAAAATCTAGGAAAAGTTATGCAGAGGAACAGATGCTTCAGGTAGTGTTATCTTTGAACAAATACAGTAGGTCACCAGTCTAGCCAGGAATTTGCATTAGATTTCTTCTATGTGATGCTAATGGTCTTTATTTCTCTGAACAAATTATAGATTTGGGGTTTAAAATGTCTGTGTTAAATCAAGCCTCAGGCACATGCAAGGATGTTCATTGTCTTTAACTTCTCACTATCTGGGTTAATTTGACTTCTGCTCCAAATGCCATATAAGAGACTTTGTAGCAAATCAGTGTCATGAGGTAGTCTTCATGGAACGCTGCATCGGCCTTGGTAATTTCCTTTTAAGTTGCTATCACTGGCTGGTACAGCTCTATCGTTTGTCTTTACCAGTCTTTACCGACACTGACTTTTCCTTTTTCAAATAAAGCTTGATTTATCTCTCATGAGACTGGTCCCAAAGAAGGGGCGTACTTCGCTAAGCTACGGGACTAAGAGATTGCATTATATAAATTAGTTCCTTTTTTCTCCTTTTTTACTTTTTAATTGCAAGAAAGGCAATACGTTAAAAGGTCAACACACTCAGCTCCACCACCAGGACGTGTGAACAGTTCACACAATGAACATGCTAATCACCCCCAGCAGCCACTC